AGCGGGTCTCGCCCCACCGCTGTTCTGCCGTGCCTTCCAAGGTGAAGAGCGGCAGTCGCACTCTGATGTTCGCCCTGGCCGCCCCCGCCGCGTGGCTCGCCGCTCGCTGCCTCCAAGAGCCCAGCGACGAGCGCTCTCCTCATCGGCCCGCGAACAAAAGTTCATCCCATTCGGTCGCGACCAGCTCCTCACCGCCTGCACCCGCTGAGAAAGCACCCAACCCTGCCGCGAGCGCCACCGACACGCGAAGGGCTGCCCTGGGCGTCGCAGCGCATTCCCCCGCGACAAAGCTGGCTGCGCGGGCTTGGGGAACGCACTTGGTGGCCCAGAAATGTATATATATATATATATATATATATAAATATGTGTATATATATATACATACATATAGATATATAAAGAAAGAAAGAAAGAAAAAAAAGAAAAAAAAAAAAAAAAAAAAAAAAAAAAAAAAAAAAAAAAAAAAAAAAAAAAAAAAAAAAAAAAAAAAAAACTCTGCACGCGATCTTCAGGCAGCGCAAGGCAATCATCCCACTCACCCACCCGCAAATTGCTCTGCAAAACCTATGCAGCGGCCATTGCGATGACTGCTTGGTGCTGGCTGGCGCGCCGCTGCGGACGCGCTAGCGCACGCAGGCTCGCACGCAGAGCGGCCGCGACCAACGCGCCACAGGTGGCGCTGACCGCTGGGGACTCCCCAGCGCGTCGCGCAGGCCGCGCTGACGCGTGGGCACTTCAAGGCGGATCGGTGACTCGGGCGGGAGCGGTATCATGGCGAAGAAGACAACGGCAAACGCGATGATGATAGCAGCGGTGTCTGTGACAAACGTGACAATGACGATGGCAAGGCCGATGATGGCGCCGATGCTGATCACGTCGATGACGATGATGGCGTCCACGCGTCGGCGATGAAGGTTCAAGACGAAGTTCGACATGCACGCGCGGCCGACGGGCGCGACGGGCCTGCATGCTATTATTTGATGAAAGGGACCGTGCCCCCCGAGCAAGAGCGCAAGAGCGTCCGGATGATTTCGACATGCGCGCGCGAGTGTTGAAAACCGACCGTGTTTTCCACGATTACACTAGAGCGCGCGTGCATATTCCGTTGGAGAACGAACCATGTTGCGAAAGCATCGTTTTCCATTAAATCTTTACGAAACCTACAGGATTTCGGCATGCGCGCGCGACGACACGCGCGTGTGGATTTCTTTGTTGAGCAGGGGGTTCTTGCAAATTGATGATTTCTGCCATCAAATGTGCGCACGCGTAATATGATTTGCAGGATGAAAGTGGGGTCCCAGTTTGGCTGGGATGGTACGAATCGGTGGTAGATCCCACTTCCTCTTGAAACAGGAGAACCCACGTGGTGCACTGTATGTGGTGCAAGATGGTGCAATTGTGCGAGGCCGCGACGAGGCGGCGACGTGGCGGCGACGGCGACAACATAGCCGCCATACCGTCGCACAGGCCCAGACGATGGGCGGTGAAGAGGCGGCGACGGGGCGGCGACGGCGACAACATAGCCGCCGTACCGACGCACAGGCACAATTCCGTCGAAACCAAATCAGAAGCCCTAAGTGCACTTACTATCTTGCGGAAGCGCAAGCGACAGACTTCGCAACCCTGGGGTGCGAAAGACAAAATGCAGGAGGGATGAGCTGACGAACGGACCGTGTCAGGGGAGAGAGGAGAGAGGAGAACTGCACTCCTTGGGCGCCATTAACTAACAAAGGGAAAGCAAACAAAAAAGGGGGAAGGCCGCACGAGGGGGGCGGCGGAAGACCACGACGACGACCACGACGACGACCACGGCCACAGCAACGACCACGGCAACGACGCCGCCAGCGCCGACGGCGACGGTGACGGCGACGGCGACGGCGGCGACGGGGCGGCGGCGGCGACGGCGACGGAGACGGCGACCACGGCAGCGGCGAGAGCAACGGCCACAGCGGCGGCGACGAGGACGGCCAGGGCGAGGGCGAGGCGCCGTGCTGGCCCGCGGCGTGGAGGCCGCTGCCAAGCGCGCCGCGCCGGCGCTGAGGGCCTCCGCGAGCCTCGGAGGAACCGCACGCTGGGGGCGTCCGTTGGCCGGGAGCGGTGAGAGGGGGTGAGCGGAAGGCGAGGGAGCAGATGGAGCAGGGAGGAGCAGGGGGAAGAGATCTCACCTCCTCCTGATCCTTTTCCTTCCTCCTCATCCTTCTTATCCTCCTCATCCTCCTCATGCTCCTCCTGATCATCATCATCATCATCATCATCATCATCATCATCATCATCATCATCATCATCATCATCATCACCATCATCGTCCTCATCGTCGTCGTCATCATCGTCATCATCATCATCATCAAAATACTCATCACCATCGTCATCATCATCATCGTCGTCGTCATCATCATCCTCATCCTCATCATCATCACCACCACGACCATCACCACCCACCACCATCATCAGCATCATCATCAGCAGCAGCATACTCATCATCATTATAATCATCATCATCATCATCATCATCATCATCAGCAGCAGCAGCAGCATCATCCCAATTATCAGCATCTGCATCATCATCCTCATCATCATCATCCTCATCATCGTCATCCTCATCATGATCAGCATCATCATCGTCGTCATCATGATCGTAATATACGTTCATGACAAGAATAAAATCATTCATAACAACATCCTACTCAGAATCAGCATCATGATCACAAGGACAGACATATTAATAATGAGTACTACTATTAATCAGACGATGAATTTTGATGGGCAATTAAGGAATCATACAACGCTAACAATAACAACAGTAGTAAAAGTACCTCAAATATAACTCTTAGAAATACAAGCCATAGTAGTAAAAATGGTTAGAATTGGGATAGGAACACGAATGCTAGTGATAATAATCATCAGCATCAGCATCAGCATCAGCATCAGCATC